GGGGTCGTTTTTTTTAAAAAAATTTTTAAAAAAGGGGGGGGGGGGGGTGCGGGGGGGTGCGGGGGGGGGGAGTTGAGGCAGCGTTGCAAGAACCCCGTTTCATTGACAAAGTTGGTGGTACTTGTGGCGCTAGACAGCGGCACCAGGGGCGCTTTTCCGACCTGGGAGAGATTTTCGAGCCCCACGGTAACCGTTTTTCTATCGCAGCCTTTGTACGGCACTGCCGTCCACAGTGTACTCTGTATTCGCATGACAAACACGTCCTTTTAGTTCATTTTGGCTGATAAGGTTGTGTGCAGCGGTGTTTCACTACTGCAACCGGGAGATTTTGGGTACAGCAAGTATTTTTGTGTGGGGTGTGGTGGGTGTCTTGTTTACTTGGAGTGTTATTTTTTAGTGAGGTGGTGATGTATATCTCTTGTGGCTTATCGGGTGAAACAAGGACTGTTTTCTTGTGCCCTTTGGTCTTGATCCTTCACGTCAACTACCATGCGCGGTCGGTTTGCCAGCAGGTATTTGTGTACGGATTTGGGTCGAGAGGTATTTTCCGTTTTTAGTCGTTCCTTCTTCCCTCCTGCTGTTTTACAGCGAATTCTGCATGATGCCGTTCGTCACGACCACACACCCACGTGGAGCATCCTTTTTGGGCTTGTGTAGAAAATCTTGGGTGGGAGATATTAATGTGTTATAGTCCGTTTGGTGGCGAGACGGGGGACTACCTAACACGTATCGAGAGATCGAGAGAGAGAGAGAGAGAGATGAAAAAGGTGCCCGGCGTTCAGGCCCCACGAAGGGTTGGCATGCATGCATGGTCGTTTTAGGCCATCTGCTTAGAAAAAGAGTGCACGTGGTGTGGTGGTGTAGGGTACTGTTTGTCGCCTATGTACGATAAGAGTCACCTCGCGCTCGCTGGACGGAGACAAGCGCCTCAAATTGCCCTCGTCTAGTGTACGTCGTGGGCCATGTTGTTATGTATACCACTTTTTAAATTTGGTTTCCACATGTGCTTTTCCTGGTCGTGGCCCGAAAAAAGTAGCACGACGGCGTGTTCGCTGATGACATCCACTCGTCTGCGCGGGGCGCGTAGAGGGGGGTGAATCACGGCTGCCTTTTTTCGTACGTATGGAAAAACTTTTTTTTTATTCATCCATCGTTGTTGACCCGAAGGAAACGAAGTAGGCGTTTCCTCTGGAGGGTCAATTAAGGGGAAGAGCGAGGGGTAATCGCGTGCGCATGTTGGTGCAAAAAAACTGTAGCTCTATCTGGTAAAAAATGTGTACACACAACCACCTGCTTCGCTTCCGGCGACGGCTATCTATCTCTATCGATTAACTTGGCATTCAGCTCCTGGCCCAGCTCCTGACCGGTCCATGCGCTTGCTCGAAAATCTACCTTACTTAACTCATTGGATGGATGGCTACTATTACAGCAGTAGTACCACGTGAACCTGACTGGCCAAGGTTGAAAACAGGGTACACACATTTGGCAGTTCGGGGTATTCACATTTGTACCACCCCCTCATGCTCTATCCTATGCAATCGCTCGATTCGATCCTTTCGAGGGTTTCCTCAGGAGGCCGCGACATGAGATTTTCTCGCCACGCCGTCTCGAACGCCCGGAAAATCCGCCTGACCGACAACGGCAAATATCGACAGCACACAGCAACGACTTTAGCAGCAGCCAGCGTGTCAAACGTATGCTGCGGACCGATGAAAATACATCATCTGTCTCCGGGTGCTAAAACGTTGCATGAATTGGCAGCATGCATGTGAAAGCCAAGATATTTTGTCGAGTCTCGGTGTGCCTGATACCGTTTATTACGTTCGCCCGATTGTGTCAGAAACATCGAATTAGGTTGCTTTCCAGGACGTAAACAAGAAAGTCGAACTATGTATCCATGTGTTCAAACGAGGGCACCATCCGTTCCCGAATAAAATTTGTTTGGCCCGTCTTCAAGATTCTGCTAGATTGTTTAGCCAAGGGGAGCTGGTCGGCTATGTTTCCGGGTCCTTCACCACAACGCTACTACTGTAGACTACCACCGTTTCCTTGGGCTTGAGTTCATCAGGGGGGGGGGGTTCTGTCTCACATTCGCCATTCGTACGGTAGAGCATCACTTCCGCGCTCTATCTCACCTCAGCCGCACTCGTCGTCCCTGCCTTATCGCGTCCTGGGCCCTCGCTGTCGGCCCCACTCCTCCGTAGGCCCTCAGGAGAGTGGTCTCTGCGACCAGCATCCTGCGGCTAATCCATAGCTTGGACACGTCGAGCACGCTCCTGGGCGAGAGAGTTGGGTCGGCAATGCAAACGACTTGTTGGTTTTTTGCATCGAATGGATGGTCACGTTTGCCCTCAAAATTCGTTTGCTGCTCATGCAATTTACATGTGGTACAGTGTGTAGGAGGATACGTCTGGGTAGGAAGGAGTGACTTTGGAAGAGGTGAAAATCGAGTGACACATACCCAGGCACATCCGCATCTACTGAGTAACACAGGCAAGACGACGGGGTTCCAGACACAGCAGTTTCGTTCTAAATGTTAGGTTACGAATCTGTCTTGGTTCGGAGTGAGATGCATTGCCTTCTTGCTCAAACCCTGAAGCATACACAAACCTGGATGCGCCGTACCTCTGCTGCCCATATACTTTTCATGCGGAGAACCCATACTATTCCCCCGTTGAAGCCGTTCGACTTTGTTCCGCTTGCTCGCCATCGGTTTCTAATTTCTCACCGCGATGTATCGGCATTGATCATGAAAGCCCTGAGCTGACTTGTCCTCGCCTCCACCGCCGAGATCTCGGCCTCTGGGACGAATCCGCCGCCGCCGCCGCCACCGCCTCTCTGGCCTGCAGGTGTGCCCTGAGCCTCTCTGATAGACGCGACAACCTGTCCCAGGGTTCCCGGAGCGGTTCAGTTCGACGTACGTGTAGGGGGATTCGATTTGTATACGAGTCATGTGTCAAATGCGGAGACCAGCGGAGGCCGAAAGCGGAGATGAGGATCTCGAAAGTCTTGCGCGCGCGCGAATCACACCGGAGCAGGATATCAACACAAGCAAGTGGTGGGGAGGTGGGGGTGGACAGGCGAGGCAGCTGACGTAGAGATATATCCGCAGTTAGCACCCACCGGGGTGGCGTACGTGTTGGGGGGGCGTCGCCAACGACAACCAACCTCAACGAAACATCACTGACATCTACGACGTAGCTACAAGTACGCAGTCCGTCGCAAGTGACAAGCCGATAGGCTGCGCCGTTGCCGCACCTTCTCGGTCTCTTCGAGGGCCTCCTTGGCCTGATGCGCGACCTGCTTGAGCAGGCTCCGCGCGCTGAGCTCCGTGGCCGTGGACGCGACCAAGGGCGCCAGCCCCTCGCACGCCAGCGGAAAACCCGCGATGGCTCGCGCCAGACCGGACGCGGATGTGGTTTCCCCGTCTCCACCGCCACCACCGTCGCTCTTACCACTCTGGCGGAAACTTCCACTTCTACCAGCGTTGCTACGGTTGTTACTTGTGCGCTGTCGGGTGAGGGGGGGGGTGGTAGTGGTGGCGGGAGCCGTGGTTTGCCCCCGTCCGTCTCCTCCCGCCCGAGCAGCCGGCAAGGAGGATGGCCGTGGCGCGCCTGTTGTGGCCGCTTGGAAGAAGAGGTGGCGGAGGGCCGCTTCGGGGAGTCCCGGGCTTGCAACGTGCATAATCACGCTTGGGCGCGGATGGGGGGGGGCGGGGGAGCGCGTGTACTCATGATCATAATGCGGTATCAATTCCACCATACAGAAACGGGGGGGGGGGGGGGGGGGGGGGG